CCAGTCCATGTTTTTCTGCTTCCAGGCTGGTGCTGCCACACAGTTGATTCAGGATCACTGACCCAAGCAGGTTCTTTTTTTTGTTTCAGGGTTTTCAGGACAAAAAAGGAAGGGGGGTGAGCTTTTTGTTGGCCTCTTCACAGAGCAGCAGAGATTTCTCTTCGCATCAGTCTCCCTTGCAGGATCCTGCTACGGGCTGGTGTGGCAGACAGTTTAATGCAGAACAACCAGAAACAACACATGGTGAAACACTGACCCTTAATGCAATTAGCAGCCTTCCCCAGAAGCATTTTTCAATACCCCAGGGCACTCAGAATTTGCTGACTGTTTGATTTGTGCTGCCCCAAATTCCTGACATTGCTTAAGCAAACCACAGGACCAGGAACTAAGTGATCCTGTCTTCCAATCTTTTTTTTTTTTTTAATAAGGATACTGCCTTTGTTTTCTTGGAGGAAAAAAACAACAATTTCTTTCCTACCTCTGTCTTCCCGATCAGAGGAGCACCAGTTTAAATCTCAGCTCCCAAGGGAGAGGGATTTGTTAATTTGACAATACTCTATTTAAACACTGAGAGTTCAACAAACACTTGCTCCAAGATGAGCACATGCATTTTGTTTCATTTACAATTATTCAATTAGCAGCCATCTAAGGAATTATGAATATTTGCTGGGTGTGAAAACACTGGCTCACAGAGGTTTGTTGTTCTCATTCCAGATGTGACCCTGGCAAAGCAGGGATGTGCAAAAAAATCTCCCCCCACAGCACACCTAGTCCAGCCAAGGTGAAGGGCACTGCTCATCCAGCACTGGGCTGGACGACAGCCTGCATCCATCACCTGGGAGAAGATAAATGCTGCTGTCACCCCAGCTCCTGAGCTCCATCCATCATTGCTCAACCAGGTTGGCTTTTGTTTGTTTGTTTGGAGTTGTTTCTGTTAAAAAAAAGGAAAAAAAAAAAAGAAAAAAAGAAAAAAAGTGGATAATTAAAGCTCACCTACCAAACCAGCTGACAGTGAGAACTATCAGACATGGTGCACTAAAGAAACACTCTGATTTCATCCTCACAGAGCCATGTGGATAAGTTTGGTCTCTCCAGACAAATAAAGGCATCCCAAAAACATCCTCTACCCTACACAGCCCCTGTGAGCCTGCAGGCAGGTTCTGCAGCACACACACACCTCCACACTGAGCACAGACCAAAAGCCATCACCTCCCTGCTCCCCTGCCTTCAGCTTTATTATTGCCTGGGGGAAAACTGCGTCCAGTTTCCAGCAGATTCTGCCTTGGATACTACCCAGCTAGGGAGACAGTACTCAAAACAACTATAAATGCATTTTGGAATTGATGGAAGGTGTAATTTTATCATAAATTGGGAGTGATCTGGAAATAGCATTCCCCATGCCTGGGAATAAAGTGCTTTAATAAAAGTCCTGGAGTAGGGAACACATCTTCTCTGTGAAGGGCTGTGGCAGCAGACAGCACTTATTGCTTTATCAAATATTACTGCTTGGCTGTCTGTGGGAAACAGACACAGACTCATTTGTCACAGTCCTGTTCCCCCTGAGTCACAAAGGACTCCCTGAGTTCAGTTTTTTTTTTTCCTGTTTCCGACTGCGCTCCCAGTTCCGGATCAGTCTGTAATGTTTAACAGATCTGCCACATCAGCCCCAGCACAGACACGGGGTTATCTCCAACCAGCCTCCCAACAAGGGGATGAGAGGTTTTGGGAATACCTGGAGTGTGACAGGTCCTGCACAGACAGCTCGAGCTGGATATCAGGGCGAGGGTTTGGACAAACACTGCACCACCACGGCGGTGGTGCCTCTTGTTTGGTTCTCAGATTCCCTCTGCTTTGCTGTGCGTGGGCAGCTCTGTCCTGCAAAGTCTGTGTAAGATCCTGTTCACACCCATCAGCTGGTGTTTACAGGTGTGGTTTGCCCTTTAAGCAAAATTGGTTGGACTGCACAGTGAAATCATGTCATTTTAGGGAATTTGAACAGCTACACAGTCCATGACAAACACTAATTAGTGCTCTGTTCCTTTGTCCTGCCGACTGGGTCCCAGCATGATTTGCCATTTGCCTCACTAAGCTGCAGCTCCTGTCCAAGTAGCACACAGGCACCATGCCCTGTGCAGGCATTTAGTGAGCACGCAAGGGCTTGACTTGGTCACTGCAGAGCAGCTTTGCATATTAAAGCAGAATTCAGCATATGAGAGCAGGTCCTATGCTTTGCATGAACAACCGTGAGGTGCAAAGAAAGATTTGGTACCAGCCTTGGCCCATGCACTAAAAAAGAGCTGGAAGAGGTGTAGGGAAGCAGCAAAGTGTATTGTGTCCTCCCCAGTTTGGTTCTGACCAGGACCAGTGAGAGCAGATTAATGCCCATACTGGGAGTGGGACCCTCACCCAGCTGCTACACCAAAAAAAGGCTGAGCCTACCTCAGGCCTCTTCAGCCTACCCCACTTGCTGACACTATTACCAACATCTCCTTCACAGAGAAACTTTCTACCAGAACCTCTCTTCTAATTCACTGTATTATTTCCTTCCTGCCTCATTTCAGCAAGCTCTGGAAGACGTTCTGCTCTCAGACTTCTGTGTACTGCCTTTGACCTTATCAAACAAGTTCAAGAGTGGGACACTTAAAAATTTTACTCACCAGGAAAGTCTCACCAGAGGAGAGGCGTGGGGACTGTGAGGCTTCCCAGAGGCTTTTATTGTCTCATTAAGCTCTTCTTAATGAGAATTTCCTCACCTGCTGCAGTGTCCCTCCCATTCATTTGCATTCACTATCCTGCTGCTGGTACTTTCAAGGCTCCCACTCCTTCCTCTTTCCTCATAAATATTCTGAGCCCATTTTTTATCTCCCTGATCTCATCCAGGTCCCAGGGAGAAAATACTTTCTCCTCTTCTGTTACCACTTGCCACATCCTCCTTGGCTGTTTTCCTCCCAGACATCTCTGCAGCTTCTCCTGCCTCCAGAGTCACCTGCAATAGTCTCTCCTCCAAGGAAAGTCAGCAACACCTGCTCGTGGTGAGATCCCTGACTTAAATGCTCGCTGAAATCTTGCTTGTTCTCTCAGCTAAGGCTCCCCATGCACAGCCTGCACCACACACACCTCAGTGCCTGGACCCCGAGCCCCGCAGCAGCTCTGCCCATCCCAGCCCGCTGTTTGTAGGGGTGGAGCTGTCGGATCGGCCCCTCTGCAGGACCAATGAGGCCTCACCCCAGCAGGGCAGGGGGTTCAGCACCTTTCTCAATGACTGCAAATACTGGGGGGTTCAGGCTGTTCCACTCCTCCCATGGCATGTGAAAGAGCCTTGACAGCAAAGCTGCGTCAGAGGGGGCAACAGCTGCCAAAGCAGCCGTTCAGCCTCCTCTGATTGCCTGTTGGAAAGTGTTTCCCCCTTTTTATCATTCAAGCTTTTCTAGGTAAGGATATGGCAAGTGGAAATATCAGAGAGAATGAACTGCCTCCTAGTTGGGAATGAGGGACTGACAATTATGCCTGTGATAATGAGATAGTCTGAACATGAGGGAACTTGATACAATGGGAGATTTATCTTGGAAGCAGTCCCTTGGCAGCCTGGCCTGTCTTACTGTCAGCACAGTTTCCCATTGCACAAAGGGCAGGGATCAGAATCAGGATGACAAATCCGTCTCTATCCCAAGCTCATCCTGCTCCGTTACCTAAGGTTTTTCAGTGGTAATTCCTTAGATCATCCAGATGCTCTGCTTCACTTAAACCACGTTGTCCCATGGGAATCTGTACCCACCTTGGATCTCCAAATGACCCAGAAAATTGCTTTCTTTCCTACCATAAACCCAGTCAACACTTCAAATCCTGACCTTCAAGGCTGCCAGGGTTGAGGAGAGAGGCAAGCCAGGAGTCCAAGGCCTTGGTCCAACACCCATGGAGATTCTTGTCACAAGGAATTATGTGGACTCTGCAAACACATAAGGAAAACCACAAAGAGCAAACCTGGTCAAGCAAAACCTTGACATGGCAATCGATGTTGTAGTTTACCACCAGGTGCAAGTAAATAGCCCCAGAGTTACGTGCTGCATGGCAAACATTGCAGTTTTATCTGCATGACAGGCAGCAATTTGTGGCAAAGGTTAAATCTGTTCACTCAAGCTTGATGTATGGTGGTCATGTTACATTCCCTGTTCTCAGCGGGTTTGTGTATGAATAAGTGCATGTGTGCCTTCAGGATCACTACCTTCATTCAACAGTGCATAGCCCAGCAGACCCATAATTAATCCCCAACATGTTCAAGTGACAGCTCTCATTCGTAACATCATCCATACAGAACAGTGAGCTACGTGTAAATTCCTACAATCCAGCTGGGAGTCAGAGATTTTCCAGCCACCGGAGCAGGGAGGCTCCAAGGCAGGTTTCTGACAGGATGAAGAGGACAATTGGTAGGTTGGACTAATCTACAGGTTAAATGGGTAGGGCAGGAGAAGGAGGTGTGATACAGTCCCTGTGTGCTCAGCTGCCGAGGATGGGCTGGGAATGACAACACCTCTGTGCTGTCATTCCCTGTTACGTGACCGACATTTTCTACTCACAAAAATCTAAGAGTTCCAGAGGCTTATGAAACCTGTAAGAAAGTCCCCACATTCTTCATCCTGGACAGCTTGCAAACATGAAGTTTGGCCAGACTCAGCTCAGCCACTTCTTCCTTCTCCCAATCACTGGTTTTCAAATGTACCCAAAGGTCTGAAACCCCAATAAACCATTACCATGGTCTGGCAATCAGATCCATGTGCCCCAGGCAAATCCTCACACCCAGGTCATGTCCTGTCTGCCTCACTCATAGAGCTGCTGCTAATACCAATGGTTTTTTTCCAAATTCTAGATATTTAATCTTTTTATCTGTTTGTTCTGTTACCAAAGATGAACCTGCTCTGTCAGGTTGGATCAAGTGTTTTATCCCACAGGCACACAACAGGATGGGTATGTTTTACACAAGTTTATTGGGGGTCAATATTCATTCACCAACAGCACAATGTATCAGATCTCTGCTATTTAAGAGCTGGAAACATGTCAAACACAGAGACAAGCATTGCTCAGAAATACATCAAATCTGAGTAACAGCAGCATCACCACTGATTTGTCCTGTCTGAGGAGAGAAAAGAGTGTCTGACTCACTATTCCATTCCCTACAAAAATACATACAGCCATTGCATTTAACCCTCTTTCTATAAAGGCTCCATACACAAGAGTCAAAAGGCACAAGGAGTAAAATGCTGCTACTTTGACCCACCTTGCTGCAGCTCCAGAGAGTTCTTCCATCCCCACTGTGTGTTAAATCATAGCATATTTGAGACATCTCCAAAACACAAAATCACACCTCGTTAGCATGTGCAGCCCTTCGCAGTCCCCAGTCCCTTGATTTGAGCTCTGAAATGAGGGAAATTGCAGAGAAAATAACAGCCCCTTCCACACCAGCACCTGCTCAGACCCTTGGGACCTCCACTTCCGAAGCAGACCTGGACTTGCGCCGGCTGGTCAGGCTGCCCAGGACCGACTCCTCGCTGAAGGCCCCTTCAAAGGTCGACAGGATGGACTGGCGAAACTTCTCCTTGAAATCCGGCCCCACAAAGACGTACAGGATGGGGTTGATGCAGCTGTTGAAGAAAGCAAGGCTGGAAACCAAGGGGATCCCTATGTAAAGGGCCAGTTTCATCTCGTGGCTGGAAGAGTTGTTGGATATTTCCAGCAAGGAGAAGACGTGATATGGGAAATAACAGAGGAAAAACGAGGCTGTGACAGCAATGATGATTCTGTAGGGCTTTGCAGAGTTGGCCAGCTGCCTTCTTTTCAGCTTGACAGCCACGACGCTGTAGCAGACGAGAATCACCACGAAGGGGATGAGGAACCCACATAAGAATCGCGTGACGATCATCGCTTTGTGCCGCATCCTCCACAGCCTGCGCGTTGCTTCCGACGTGTAATCGTCAGACAGCGCAAAATTATTGTAACAGCTGGTGACGTTCCTGGAACTGACCGCGGTGTCCCGAAAGACGAGGTACGGGGAGCTGAGCAGGACAGCCAGGAGCCACGTCCCCAGGGCGATCCTGGCCGCCAGCTCCGGGCTCCTGCGGTTGTGGGACCAGACGGGGAAGGCCACAGAAACGCAGCGGTCAATGCTGATCACCGTCAGGAGGAAGACGCTGGCAAACATGTTGAGGAAGGCCATGGTGCTGTTCAGCTTGCACAGGAGCTTCCCAAACGGCCAGTGGAAGCCCAGGGCGGTGTAGGCGATGCTGAGGGGCAGGAAAAAGGTAAAGATGAAGTCAGCTATGGCCAGGTTGAGGAACCAGATGGAATTCACCGTCTTCTTCATCTTGAAGCCTGCAATCCAAATGACGAGGCCGTTCCCTGACACCCCCAGCAAACAGGCGATGCTGTACACCACCATGGAGAGGATGTGCATGGTCTTCTGCAGGCCAGAGTAGTAGTCATGATCAGTGGCGTTGTCAGGCTGCTCCGTGGGACAGCTGGCAGAGAAGAGGGGAGGGGAAGAAGAGGTGCTGTCCATCACTAGCAAGCCAAGACCTGAAATCACAACAGAGCTGTTATCTGCAGCTCAAGAGCGGTGAAAATCTTTGTGAGCAACTGTACACAAAATGTGTATGAAAAGCCAGATTAGATAAATGAATTTATAATTAATACAAAGTCCTTCTCTATAGCATGTGCAGCTGCACCTCACACACCGACCTCAACCAGAGAAACCAACCCAAATTTTGCTGTTGATATCAGTGTGTCAGAACAACACCTTCATCACCAGCCCACAGCAGCAATCCAGCATGGACTAGCAGCAAAACCATGGAAACCCAGATCCCCCACTGTGACCAATCCTCTTTGGATGACCAGTAACAAATTATGACAGCAAAAGCTATCTAGACTGGTAACAATGATGTTAACAGACCATTCCTTCACCAAGCCCCTTCCAGGGAGGTGCAGGGCAACGCCAGATCTATATCCAAGTGTAACCATAGGCCCTTTACCCACCCCCTACCCTCTGGTGAGCCCACCCTTCTCCTCATCTCTCGCCTGTTCATCCTGGCACTTGCCTTGGCAGGTCCTGGCAGGGCTCACGGCGCTGATCCTTGGCTGCTCTGCCCACAGCGGGTGGTCTCACCCTCCTGACTGGCTCCCCTTGTGCTGCTCCTCTCCAGGGTGACTCACACTGCCTTGCCCCATTTTCCCATGGCTTGGGATCACGAGGAATTTAGTAGGACCACTTATTCCCTAATCTTCTTCCTCAATTTGTGGTGTGTTGATTTAACCCCTGAAGCCCCAGGAGGTGCAGGTTCCCTGGGGCTGGTTGGGCAAGCCCACCCACTAACTGGGATTTGATGAATGAAGAAAACACGGCCCCTCTCCTGCCTGCACCATTCACCTCCCTGGCAGCTCTCTCTCCTGAGCACCCCAAAATCCCTCTGCTCCCCACAGCAGCAGCAACGTGCCCAGCCTGTGCCAGGGCCTGGCACACCCGCTGTCCGGAGACACGGTCTTGGCTGGGGGGTTCTGGGGGTGCCTGGAAATGCTCCCTGCCCGCTGCAGGGTGTTGGGGTGTCCCATCCTTCGGCGCATGGGGGAAGTGGCAGGACACTGGGAACACCGCAGGGCTGGCGGAGAAGCACCTGGGGGTGCAGGGCAGGCAGGGCCGGAGCTGTGGGTGACGGCAGAGGGGTGGCGGCAGAGGAGGGGTGACGGCAGAGGAGGGGTGACGGCAGAGGAGGGGTGACGGCAGAGGAGGGGTGACGGCAGAGGAGGGGTGACGGCAGAGGAGGGGTGACAGCACAGCAGTGACGGCAGAGGAGGGGTGACACTGCCGGGCCCCCCGCCCCGGCCAAGGTCACCCGGGAGCCACGTGCGGGCCGCGCCGCCAGCCCCGCCCCTGCGTTGGCCAATGGGAGGCGGGGAGGGGGAAGTGCGCGGCGCTGATTGGTCCAGGTGATTCCCGAGCGTATTCCCCACTAGGGCGGAGCGCGGCGCTGATTGGTCGCGGCGTGGAGGGGGCGGGGCCCGGCTGGGCTATGGTAGTGCGCGGGCAATTCGCGCGGTAGCGGAATCGGGATCGGGTAAGGACCGGGACCGGGACCGGGACCGGGACCGGGACCGGGACCGGGACCGGGACCGGGCGGCGTGGGGAGAGCAGGGCCGGGGCATGGCATCCCCCTGCGGGGGACAGCGGCCAGGCAGCGCTGGTCCCCGCCACCCGGGGCAGGGCAGAGGGGCGCGTCACCAGGGCCTCGGGATGTGGGAGGTGATGGAGTGGGGATACAGGGGGTGCAGAACTCGGTGGAGATAGAGCTTCGGGGATGGGGTTCTCCAGGTGAGGTGGCAGGTATGGGGGGGGTCTTATCCTGACTGGGAATGGCAGCTCTGTCCCTCTCTGCAGCAGTGCTGCAGCAGCCTCGGCTGGGGGACATGCAGCACCTGCATCTGCTCAGAGCCAGAGCACTTCCCCTCGCAGCCCTTTGCTCAGCCCAGCCCCTCTGGCCGTGAGGATTCCCACCCCGCCAGGGAGGCCTGGGCTTGGGCCAGAGCATAGCTGAGCATCCCTGCCCAGCGAGGGTGGCGTGAATGGACTTTGGCAGCTTGGCACAAGGAAACCGTGTGGGATTGCTTAATAACCTGCTCACGGACCTTCACCCGTCCTTGCAGGGTTAATGAGTAAAAAGATGCATTGTTTTCTGCCAAGGCAGCAGCTAGGCTGTTACTCCTTCCCCAAAAGCAGCAGTGGCATCAACTGGGCCAGAGGGCTCCTGCCAGGCCTGGGCATTGCCCATGCCATGGAACCCAGCAGAGGCAGAGCTGCTGCCTCTCAGGGCCTCTCAGCTCCACAAGAGGCTTCAGTCAGGGTTTGGGGCAGGACTCTGACCTGCTGGAGTTTTGCCCAAGGGAAAGCAGCCAAGAGGTTTAAGCTTGCTGGGCATCACAGCGTGTGTTAAAATTGAGATCTGTGGGTACGAGCACTCACTGCCCCTGAAATTAAACATCAGGCACTGCTGAGCTGGGCAGGGGGAGCTCGGGGGGGTGGTGATGGAAGAGTATCAGACATTATCAAAGCACAGTAATTAACAAACTGATCTTAAATAGGCAGGGGAAGCCTGAGGGTTGTGTGTTTTCCTCACCCAACAGCCCATGGCTGTTCTCAGGGAATACATGGGATGGCAGCAGGCAGCACACAGGGAGATGTGGAGGCACCCAGCCCTGCTGCCATCCCACAGACTCCCTGTTCCCCTGGCAGGTGACTCAGACCCAGCAGCAGCACCATGGCGAGCTCAACACAGGGCCTCCCCAGCGCCGAGCTCTGGGCCTCCCATAACAAGATGGTGGTGGAGCCGCTGGACACCAACGACCCTGAGGTGAGAGCCCCTTCCTGGCTCCTGCCCAGCTGCTTCACTCATCCCCCAGCCAGCCGTGGGGATGCTGACCCTGTCAAGCCAAGGACGTGGCAGGGTCCAAGGCTGAGCTGCTGGAACCCATTCATCCTCTGTGCCCTCTCTGAGGCTGCTCGGGATCAGCTGCACCAAGAAGGGATCAGATCTCTGGTCTCCAGCAGCTTTCCAGGCCCCTCTTCAAGCCCTGTTCCTGTGGTGGACCATCCACAGCTCTGCGCAGAGATGGCTGAAGGCATTTCTCTCCTCTCCCAAAGGTGCACAGCATCATCAAGAAGGAGAAGCAGCGGCAGAGGCTGGGGCTGGAGTTAATTGCATCGGAGAACTTTGCAAGCCGAGCAGTCCTGGAGGCCCTGGGATCCTGCATGAACAACAAATACTCTGAGGGCTACCCAGGACAGAGGTATGGGGCTGGGGCTAAGGCCCACCAACCAAAACCTTGGCAGGGTGGGAGAGGAACCCCCCATCCTGCCAGGCCTCACCTCAGAGAAGAAGCAGTGTCCTTGTGCTGGCAGCCAGGCTCTTCCAGGACAGGCTCTGACCTTCTCAGCCTCTGTCCTTGGTCACACATGGGACAATCGCAGCAGGGTGACATCTGCTGTGGCTGCACAAAAGGGGCATCACCCCAGTTTGGTCACAGGGGCTGTTCTGAGTACTGAGTTTGGTTTTAGCCCTGCCCTGTCCTGTCCTGCAGGTACTACGGTGGGACAGAATTCGTGGATGAGCTGGAAAGGCTGTGCCAGAAGCGAGCCCTGCAGGCTTACCGGCTCGACCCCCAGAAGTGGGGAGTCAATGTCCAGCCCTACTCAGGTATTGGGGTGCTCAGGAGAGCCAGGACAGTTTGCTCATGCCCCTGTGTGCCCCAGCATTCATAACCAGCCCGGTGCGTTCTCGCTGCAGGGTCACCGGCAAACTTTGCGGTGTACACGGCCCTGGTGGAGCCCCACGGCAGGATCATGGGGCTGGACCTGCCCGATGGTGGCCACCTCACCCACGGCTTCATGACAGACAAGAAGAAGATCTCTGCCACCTCTGTCTTCTTCGAGTCCATGCCCTACAAGGTAGAGAACTGCTCCAGCCAGAGCCAGGATGCAGTTATCATAAGTGTTGGTGCCTCTTAAAAGTACCAGCACCAGGCTGCCAGCACTCCCTCCTGGAGGACAGCACTGCAGCTGATCTTCACACACCAAGGTGGCTGAACCCTCCTCTTCCTCTCCCAGGTCAACCCCAAGACGGGTTACATCGACTATGACAAGCTGGAGGAGAATGCCCGGCTCTTCCACCCCAAGCTGATCATAGCAGGTAAGGATCACACCTGTACTGACCTCCCTGCTGGCACAGCCGGGGTGGGGATGGCTCCCTGAAGCCAGCAGCAAACCCATAAGCCCATGGGTGCTGCAGTGCCAGGAGGAAACCTCCAACACAACCACCCCGGAAGGAGCTTGCGTACTGTGCTTGTGTACAGCCTGCTGGGCTGTCCACACTGCAGACCTGGTCCTGGGGCTGTCCCAGGGTCCTGCACATCTGCTCCTGTCCCCTCCTCACCTCCTGTCCCCGCAGGTGTCAGCTGCTACTCGCGGAACCTGGACTACGCCCGCATGCGGAAGATCGCCGACGACAACGGGGCCTATCTCATGGCCGACATGGCGCACATCAGCGGGCTGGTGGCCGCCGGCGTGGTGCCCTCGCCCTTCGAGCACTGCGACGTCGTCTCCACCACCACCCACAAAACCCTGCGCGGCTGCAGGGCCGGCATGATCTTCTACCGCAAAGGTGCCCGACCTGCCGGGGTGCCGGGAGAAACGCTGCAAGTTAACGCTGCTTCCCGCTCTGACTGGGAAGGAGGGAGGGCAGAAGGATCCTGGGAGTGTCTGGGGAGCTTCCCTGGGCTAACCCTGGCTCAGATTTGAAGAGGAACAACCACTGTGCTTGCTGTGAGCAGCCAGGGGGTGAAAGCAGCTCGTGGGAGAAGGGTGGCGGTGCTGCCTTGTGACCATGTCCTCCCTGTCTCACAGGCACCCGCAGCGTGGACCCCAAGACAGGCAAGGAGACCCTCTACAACCTGGAGAGCCTCATCAACCAGGCGGTGTTCCCGGGGCTGCAGGGAGGCCCACACAACCACGCCATTGCAGGTATGCAGCCAGGCTGGCTGCCAGCTCCAGCATGGCAGAGGGAGCTGGCAAAGGTGTCCTGGCAGGGCTCTGACCCCCAGCGGCAGCACGGGAGGCTCCAGCTGCCCTACAGGGCTCACAGCCTGGGGACACTGTGGCAAAAGGCAGCTGGCTGATCCAGCATTGCCCAAGGAGTGACCAGGCCTGTCCTATCCTGTGTTTTGGCTCATGGCAATGCCACCAGCCTGGTTAGGGGAAAGGAAGGATCAGTGCATTAGTTTGTTTGGCTCCAGTATGGCTTCTTCTGGCAGTGCCATTGCTCCCAGGGTCAGGTGGGAGCCCCCCAGACCTGACCCTGGCCTCCCTCTATCCACAGGGATCGCCGTGGCGCTGCATCAGGCCATGACACCCGAGTTCAAGGCTTACCAGCAGCAGGTGGTGGCCAACTGCAAGGCACTCTCATCAGCACTGATGGAGATGGGCTACGACATCGTCACAGGTGAGGACGCATCTTGGCAGTGGGATGGGGCTGACCCTGGGCTCTGACCAGGGCAGCTCTTCAAGGACACCCTGGGCAGGGCTCTGTTGGCCAATTCCTCACCCCTTGCTAGATCTCAAGCCTTCTTTTGCCAGAGTTTCCTACGGGAGCAGTATTTTCCCAATCCCACCACCCCCTCTCTTTGCAGGGGGCTCTGACAACCACCTGATCCTGGTGGACCTGCGCAGCAAAGGCACAGACGGCGGCCGGGCCGAGCGGGTGCTGGAGCTCTGCTCCATCGCCTGCAACAAGAACACGTGCCCTGGTGAGGGATCCCACAAGCTCTGCCAGCTCCTGCTCCGCCCCAGGAGCCAGGCTGGAATCCCACAGGTGGTGGTTTCGGTGCCAGGGTTGGTCACACGTGCCTCGTTGTGCTGCAGGTGACGTCAGTGCCCTGCGGCCCAGCGGCCTCCGCTTCGGGACGCCGGCTCTCACCTCGCGCGGCTTCCGGCAGGACGATTTCCGCAAGGTGGCCCAGTACATCCACAAAGGTGAGCTGGGGGCGTGTGGAGCCTCAGCTCCAGCACCAGCCTGGAACAGGGCAGCTCCCCTGCGTGAGGAGGCACCAGCTGGCAAGGGAGCACACCCAAATGAGGAATAACCTCCACATCTGGATGTGTGGGAGGGCACCTGGCCACAGCTGGGACCAGCCAAACTCTCCCCACTGCAGGCATTGGGCTGAAAGCCTGTCCCTCTCGCAGTTCTCTCCCAGTTGTCCTCAGGAGCTCCAAGCTGTTTCCCTGGGCAGCAAGTCCCTGAGATGGGAAGGAGGGAGGGAGCAGGGCTGTGTCCCAGGGAGCAGCAGGGCTGGGAGAGCCGTGGGCTGCAGCAGCTGCGAGGGCTGACCGAGACATCTCCCATCCCGGCAGGGATCGAGCTGGCTCTGCGTGTGCAGAAGGACATGAGTCCCAAGGCCACGCTGAAGGAATTCAAGGACAAATTGGAGGACCCAAAATACCGTGGGGAGCTGAAGGCACTGAAGGAAGAGGTAGAAGCCTTTGCAGCCACGTTCCCGCTCCCGGGGCTGCCTGTCCTGTAAAGGGACACAGCCATGCCCGCTCCTGGAGCCACGGGAGTAGCTGGGATCATGGCACACCCACAATGCCCAGCCTGAGACCAACACCCCAGTGCCTTCTCCCAGCATTTCCCTGTGGAACTGCAGCAGTAGCTCCTCCTTTGGCTCTTACTTCCCCTTCCCCTCCCATGTGGGGCACAGGGACCCCATGAGTACAACCCCTGTGGGGACACCAGCCCTTCACCACTGTGTCACCGAGCACCAGGTCACCCTCACCTCGTGGCCAGGTGCCATCCAGCTCCTGCTGGCTGTGGAGCAGCAGATGAGATGTAGGCTGGTCTATCCACAGTCCCTGGACACCCTGCCCATGGCAGTGTGACAGACAGGGGCTCCAGCTTCACAAGGAAGCTCACAGCCACTAGAAGTCCCCCTGGTTTCACCCTCAAGGATTCCCCTTCATCCTATGTGCCTTGCCACCTCCAAAGGCTACGACAAGGCCAAGCCTTGTCCTCAACATCCCTCCTGGGATCACCATCTCATCCTAACCAGATCCTCCAGTATTTTCTCAGAGCCCTTGGCACAAAGGTTGAACCATTTTTTAATAAGCACGGTAAAATTAAGAATTTAACCACAACGTATGACAAAAATTATAAGCTTTAAAAAATACGACCAATTTTTTTTTTCTTTTTTTTTTGTATTTCAAAAATATCTGAACCCAAATAAATATTTTTTTTTTTAAAAGTACATTTCTTAGACTAGTCATTTGGTGTTAACATCTGTTAAACTCTTGTGCAGTAACACAGCACGACACTAAGACATGCTTCTTGGATTTCTCCCGGTCACACTCGCCCTAACTACTGACGCAAGCATTCGGCACGCACGGGCACACACACGGAACTCAACATGCAGGAATAGGATACAGTGCTTTTAAAATAAGATGAGAATTCATCACAGCCTCCTGGCAGCCTTCAGAGGCAGCTCCAAGCCCAGCCCCATCCCCGTGCCAGCAGCCGTGCTGCCGGCAGGACCGGGTACCCTGCTTCTGCCTTCCAGTTAAATCCGTCTCAGGGAGCAGTGGGTGGGGGCTTGTGACCCCTCCAATATCGGGGTGCAGTTTGGTGCTCTGACATTGTGCTCTGGGGCAGGTGTTCTCCTGCAGCCTGGCAGCTCCCTGAATTCCCTGTTACAGGAGCCTTCTCACTGTGCTCCTACAAGCCCTGGGTCTGGCTCAGCTCCCAGAATCTGCAGTGTGGGCTGGCCCCCACCACCAGACCAGGGGGCTCAGGACCCTCACACTCAATAAAAGCCAAAGAACTGGCCTGGGGGCACTGAGCCATCAGCTCCCACCCCTGGAGTGCCTCTCCCACCCTGGTGAATATTGCTAGAGTATAGGCAGCTGTGGAGCTGCTCAGAAGTGATTGCTATCAGATGAAAGGAAATCTGAGCACTGTTCTCTGAGAAATGAAACCTTTGTAGGGTTAAGA